ATTAGTTCTGCAGAAGTCTTCCACATAATTTATTTGCCTTTTCAGAGACATCCTATTGGGTTTTATTACAGAGGAAGCAGGAATTTTCCAATTAAGTCGAGTTGAGAGAGGAGTGGAAAGGCATTGCTATTTATAAGCTACCAGCAAGCCAACTCAATCGATTCCGCCTTTCCTATTAACACAGAAATGGTAAATTTCCAATGAAGCCAACAGGGCGGCTACTCGTTATTGACTTACAGTTAAATAACTGTTTGCACGCACTGTTGCATTCGAGTTGATTTGAAACTGAAACGAAATGAAAATATTATGAATGGGTAGCTTATGTCGAAGGCCTGCACCAATTACGGCTCATTTCAATTGCAGGTACGAATTGATTAGAAGTTCCCGGAGAAATTAGAAGCCTTCTTCGAAAGACAATAGTTCCAGCCGAGCCCGTAAGCCGGGCATTATTTATGCCGCACCACAATGGATGTATCTCCCGTACAATGGCTTTCGGATGGAGCTCACAGCCTCATATTAACGGAGGCCTTGCAGGTGGCTGATTACGGACCGATTTTATTGACTCGCCCGGGGCCAATCTATTGTTTTGGGTTCAATAATGGCCAAGATAACTGCGAGTGCGAGACAAGAGTACTTGATCCTCTACACAAAGGGAAATATATATGCATCAGATTTGCCTAAAACCAAGTTTATTTTAATATTAAAAAACAGTTAAACTCTTTTTCAAGAGCCCTATTCTTAGCCACGCTTTTTCTTTTAAGTTCTCCCCTTTAATTCCTAACACATCTTTTTCCTCTGTGTAGTCACAGCACAGCTCATGATAAATTTACAATGCTCCGCGTTGCGAAGGCCACGGCAAACAATAACAATTGCATTTGCTGGCACTCCGTCGACGCAGGAGCAAGGCACATGTTTATGTCCTTCTCCGCCGTACATCTCCTGCCGCCCATGGATGGCCCGGGGCTGCCTGGCTAAGGCGAATGTCCTGTTTCTCGTTTTCGCACGTACAATGTGCTGCACTGGCACTCTGCCCCCAGATAATTGCATTGCCCCCGTCCATAAGTGTCTGCTGCTGCCATCTTGGTCCTTCGTCCTCCGTCCTCCGTCCTTGCTGCTTGCCGCTTGCTGTTTGCTGTTTGCGGAGTTTTGTGTATTTATGAAAACCATTTCCGGGCGGCAATAAAACTCAACACGGTCAACGTCAGCGGCATCTAATCTTGGCCTGGCGGCGCTTCGAGTGCCATTAATTTTGCTTGTTTTTTTCTGTGACATTTTCCGATTATGTGCGGATTTGTGGCACGACGTACGCCCTAGACCCCGCTCCTCCTTTGATCCCCAGGAAAAGTTTGCAATTTACACTTTGGTGGCGGCTGTCCTTGAAAGATTGGCGAGTCTTAGCCTTAACAAGGACAACAAATAGGCCACCCGATGACAGGCGATAGCAGAGACCTGCGCTTGTTTTTGTATTTGTTTTTCGCCATGCAAGTGCCACACCCCTATAAGCCTCGAGTTGCTGCCGCCAGGAAAAGTTCCACCCACTTCTGGATTTGCCTTTTTGTTAATGTTTGCTCAATTTAAAAAGTTTTCTATCGCCATTTGCATTTGCACGCACATTCGCACGTGCTTATGCAACAGCAAAACAATTGGAGGAAAGATTGGTAGCAGGGTGGCAGGGCGGCAGGACGGCAGGTGGGTGGGGCTTGGGCTGGAGAAAGTGCTCAGCCAGGCGGCAAAGAAACCATTTGCATACGCACAGGGGCTTAGACCTGCAGGGATCTTAAAGATGGGTCCCTTGGAAGCTTAAAGACCTTGATTGGGAATGGAAGAGACTTTATTTAAATAGTATATATATTTATGATCTGTGCTACTGCAACTGCTTTCCCAAATTTGATTGACAGTTTACGTGAAAAACGAACTATTTTCCTGTCATGTAGCACTTATCAAAGCATCGCAACGCCCTAAATAAGCTAGTCCTGACACAAATCAGTTGCATAAACAAATAGATAACACCGTCGCATTTGCATAATCTAAAAAACAGGCAATGAAACCCCCTGGATGAGCTGCGCCCATGGCTACGCAACACGAAGGCAAAAGAAGAAAAGTTGGGCAAAAAATCGGAATGGAAGAAAAAAAGCTGAAAAGTTAGTTTAGTTTTTGTTTTTAATTTGGTAATGCAGCACGGAGCATGGCCTCCAATTGTTAGTCCTGGACAAGGACTTTTTGCTGTTTTCCGACAATTACATTTGATGAAGTTTTACAAATGAGCCAGGCGTGGTCGAGCTGCGCGGGCGGACATTTAGTTAACTTTCGGGCAGCTAAAAATTGAATTGAATTTCAATTGTCAAATGGAATTGTATATGCCCCACAAAAAAGGAGCTGCAAAAAACGCAGCAAACTAAAAATGCCAATTTATTCGCCTACCAGAAATGTGAGGTAACAGATAATGGATTGCCTCCCAGAGATTAAGGCGGAATTTGGCAGAAATTTTCAGAATTTTAAAGTCCAGCATGATTCGAGCTTATAATAAATTACGCTGGGCCATATTTGCTATGTATTTTTTTTTGAGTCTGTAATAATCAGTTTTTATCTTCTTAAATAATGTCAAAGAAATGTCAACAAAGTACGACAATTACACAAATATGTTTGCAGAAAGCATTAACTTCTGTCAAGAACTTATCGTATTCGAAAGAGATTTCAAGTCTTAGTCGTTAATCCACTTGACGAAGTTGATAATACAAATAATTAAAGTTAAATGAAAATTATTTTCTTTCAGGTTTAAATTTAAAGATTCCACTAGAACTGCTAATAAATTATTCTATCATTAGATTTAGGGCTATAAGGCACTCTAGTTTTCCATTATGATGCTACTTACAATCCTAAAATCTACAATTTAATGCTGTATAAATAATTGCTCATACGCACTGTTGCATCTGTTTGGAGTTGAAGCCAAAAATCAATTTGCAGCTAAACTGGCGCAGCTAATCTTGAATGGGATTTGAAATCAAATTGGCAATTGCCAAGTCCTTCGTTTACAGGTTAACAATTACTGGTCATTCCGGCAGATTACTCAGATACCAGATAGCAGATACCGAATACCAGATACCAGCCGATACCCAGTCATTATATATCTGGCTTTGGCAGAAGCAAAGTGCAGAATGCCGGGAAACCCATATCTTTCTGGGCCATCTCCTATATGCTCGAAAGCCATGTCTGTGCGGCATCAGTTAATTGATTTGCTTTACGACTTGCGGCTGCAGTCAGTCCCTTGCAACATACTCGTATTCCTCCGTAATATTTTTTTAATATTGTTGCGCGCTTTGGCTGGCCTCGTTTTTGGCAATTGGCCATCAAATTAGCTTTGCTTTTTTAGTCCGCTGTGCCACATTTATGAATATCAACGAACCTGTGAGTGCCGATGCGGGCCCAGCCCAGAGTGCCCTCTAAGTGCCTTGATCCCCACTTTTCTCACTGCGAGAAATTCTTGAACTTTGGACCTTAACTAAACTTAACTGCAACTTCTAACAGCACTTTGAGTTCAAATGCTATAGATTTTATTCATTTTTACCTATACCCACACCTTTTTCTAATAAGCTGGAGATTGCATTTGATTAGATTGCGAAACCAGACTGAGGGCAGTTTGATTGAGAATCGTTTTCTGGCCTTCGGAGGATCGAACCGCAATGCTTATCTGCTCGATTCCCTAGCGGGAAAACAAATGTATAAAATGATATACCATTTTTCTATCTGTGTGCTCATAAAGCAGCAAAAATAAAACTGTCGACGATTGGGAGGAAAGTGGAAAATACTGGGGGCGAGGAAAAGCGGTCTGAGGCTGAGGAAAAGCCAGCAATTGCAACTGCCAACTGCTGCTGCACTGACACAGGAAATATTATCCGCATTGCCAGCAACGAGCGATGAGCAGAAATTGAGGCTGCCAAGGCTTTGGCCTGGCTTTGTGGGTCGTCCTTTAGGGAGAGGGGGTTCCTGGTGGGCGGTTGGGTGATTGGGTGGTTGGGTGGCGTGAGGACAAAGCGCAAAAGCGGCCAAGTGAATTCTCAAATACAAATTCAAATGGCAAATTGACAAATGAACCTTTTGAGCTTTTTACGTTTTCATTGTCTGTCTGTATCTCTCGGTTCGCCAGCGGAGCGGATTCATCCCTTTGCGGTGGTGTGGGAGGGGCTTTGAGCGATCCAGGAAACTTTAGGGCAAACGTAATGTGGCCCAACTTCGGTTGGCAACAGTAAGTGCGGTGTGGATTGTGTGAAATTAGGCATCTTCCGTCGAAATAAATTACTTTTAAGCTAGAAAGGAGCCTTACACAGGAAACAAAGTGTCATAGTTGCCTCCAACCTTAAAAACATTTCAGTTTAGTACAAATAATAATATAGTAATATCTTGAGTTAAAGAGATTACCAAATAAAGAACTTAAATCACGGTTAAAACTGAGGTTTTTCCCCTCGTGTATGATGAACTTGCCCTCCCACTCTCGAACCACTCCTGGTTGGCTTTTTTCCAGCTCAGTCCCGCTCCTTTTAATTCAAAAGAAGTACAAACAAAAAACCCGAGGGGGGAGCACAAAAGTAAAAAGCATTCGACAGGCTATTGATGCTGATTTTGTAAAGATGCCGATGCGATGTCGATGCCAATGAAAATGAGAATGAAACTGGGTAGGGAACTGGCCATGGACGGTATGGGGAATGTCCTGGGTTTGAGCTCGAGCCTGTGGCCCTGCGGGTTTTGGTTGCCGCTTTGTTGTGCCGTCCAGCTGGACGTACAACAAATTACAAAATGTTGTTGAAAGGCGATTTTAAAGCCCCGGCCACTTGGCACCACCCACCTAGCCCACCCTCTCCATTCGGAGGCCAAGCCGAAATCGGTAAACAGAGATTACAAATGGGCCAAGTGTGGGTGCAGCAGGAACAACTAGAACTACACAACTACAATGGGCATTGTTGGGCCTCTCACGCTAATACCGGATTCTCTTTTACATTTTGCAGATTTAAGAATTCTTAAAAGGATACCAGCAGCAGCAGGAGGAGGAGCAGCAGGAGAAGGAGCACCAGGACGGACCAACTTTCCACTCGAAGCAAATTAAAAGAAAAGAACTCAGCCAAACTGGGGGAGGAGCACAAAAAACGGCAAAATCAATAGTGCCGAGGAAGTGTGGCCAAAGTGCTGAGTAATGTGGAGTAATGGAGACCTTTTTGCTGGCGGCGGCAACATGATGTGAAACATGGCAATCGAATCAGCCAAAGCCATTTAGGGTCATCAATTGCCAGGGTCGTGGAAAGCTCCCAACGAAGCCATATGCACCGCAGCATGGAGCGCAGGAGGAACAGGACCCCGACGTCTCTGCCAGGTAAGTTGTCATGCCCAGGCACCAGGTGCCACGGGCCAAAAGAGATGTTCAATACAAAAAAATAATCGATTTTAGAAAAGTTACCTCTAAGTTCGGTCTTAAATCCTTATTTGATTCTGTTTTCTTGCTTAAAGAAGGACTTAAAACTTCAGATTCTGAGTTAGTAACTGATCTCTCACCGCCTCCATTTCAGTCTGCTGGATTCTACTATGCCTGGTGGCCTGGACCTGGGCAGATGACTGGTCGCTGAGCTGCGCCTCCAACTGCACCTGCAAGTGGACCAACGGCAAGAAGTCGGCCATATGCAGTTCCCTGCAGCTGACCACCATTCCGAGCACGCTGAGCACGGAGCTGCAGGTGCTGGTGCTGAATGACAACCACATTCCGTACCTCAACCGGGAGGAGTTCTCCACTTTGGGTCTGCTGAATCTGCAGCGCATTTACCTCAAGAAGTCCGAGGTGCAGTACATACACAAGGAGTCCTTCCGCAATCTGAAGATCCTGGTGGAGATCGACCTGTCGGACAACAAGCTGGAGATGCTCGACAAGGACACCTTCATGGGGAACGATCGTCTGCGGATACTCTATCTGAATGGGAATCCCCTCAAGCGTCTAGCTGCGTATCAGTTTCCCATTCTGCCCCACCTGCGCACCTTGGACATGCACGACTGCCTGATCTCATACATCGACCCCATGTCCTTGGCCAATCTCAATCTGCTGGAGTTCCTCAACCTGAAGAACAACCTGCTGGAGAGCCTGAGCGAGTATGTGTTCCAGCACATGGCCAACTTGAAAACGCTCTCCCTGGAGGAGAATCCCTGGCAATGCAACTGCAAGCTGCGAAAGTTCCGTGGCTGGTACGTCAACAGTCGCTTGAGCTCCGTGAGTCTAGTCTGCAAAGGACCTCCGGCCCAAAAGGATCGCTCCTGGGACAGCGTGGATGACGAGCTCTTCGGCTGTCCACCACGAGTGGAGATCTTCAACAACGAAGAGGTCCAAAACATCGATATAGGCAGTAACACCACCTTCAGCTGCCTGGTCTACGGGGATCCCTTGCCGGAGGTGGCTTGGGAGCTGAATGGAAAGATTCTGGACAATGACAACGTGCTCTTCGACTCGGAAAGTATCTCCTCGGACAAGCTGTGGAGCAATCTCACCGTTTTCAACGTGACCAGTCTGGATGCCGGAACCTACGCCTGCACGGGCTCGAATTCGATCGGCAGCATGACCCAGAACATCAGTATCTACCTAAGCGAGATAGTGCAGCACGTGCTGGAGAAGACCCCTGAGACCTTCTGGTACTTTGGCCTCATCATGGGCATCTTCGGAACCATCTTCCTGCTGATCTCCATCTCCTTTGTCGTCTGCCTGTGCAAACGAACCACCCGGCAGCATCGTCATGCCAACAAGGCTGGGGTCAAGTCCAGCGTCAGCTTCAATGATCAGGAGAAGAAACTGCTGGACTCGAGTGTCACCACCACCACCAATGATCGAGGTGACAGCTATGGCATCGACAACCAGCCCACCTCCATTGGCATGAACAAGGCGGACTCAGCTGGAATGGGATTCAACCAGATAGAGATCCATGCGGTGGAGAGTCATCGCCATGGGAGTATGTTAGTACAGCAGCCTCCGCAACAGCAGCAGATTGCAGGCGGTCCTGGAATGCGGCAGCAGCTGATGCAGGTCAAGGACCCAACCTGCGGCATGATAAGTGTGCCCACCTCGATGGCAGGCCATGCCCACTCGCATCCTGCCCAGATCTCCGAGGAGTTCCCGCTAAGCGTGGGCGTCTTTCCACCGCCGCCAGAGTTCTGCTCGAACATAGTCCCGAATCCCGCTTTCGGGGGAAATATCTTCATCCGAGTGTCGGTCACGCAAGACATGCTGGACGGAGCGGACTTGAACATGTATCCGGATCTTCTGAATATCCCCAAGAGGATGCAGGACGTGCAGGAGAGTGGTGCTGGTACAGTTGCCGTGCCAGAGGGCCAGTTCGCCACTTTACCGAGACATGCCGCCAGAAGGGGCATTCTCAAGAAGGACTCTTCGCTGCAGCAACAACAACAGCAGCAGCAGCAGCAACAGCAGCAGTCACTTCAGCAGCAACAGCAACTTCAACAGCAACACCAACAACACCAGCAACATCAGCCATCCGGACTCTATACCCATGATGAAATCGTGACCTACAACCTCGAGGCCAGTGGCTATGACCCCCACCAGTCGGCGTATCACAGCAATGCCATGGAGCTGCCACCACCACCACCTCCGCCCGCCGTAACAGCGGTGGTGCAGTGCCACCACCCGAGCCCCAGCAACTGTGCCAGCTGCATCAACAATGCACCGCCGCCGCCCTCCGCCTGCCAGACGCCGCCCATCGAGGTCACGCCCATGAGGCCGCTGGACAGTTCCGCCTACCCCAAGTACGACAACATGGGTCGGCGGATCACCGCGAGCGGGGGACTCGGTGGATCCTCTCTTTCTCTGCCCGACGAGGAGCGATACGAGAACGAGACGCTTTTCGGCCAGGCGGAGGGTCAAGCCAAGGGTATCTCTGAGCAGTCGAAGGATCTTCATCAGCCGCAGGAGGCGGTTCAGGGCCAGGACAAGGGCGGCGGCCCTGGGGAGTTCGTGTCGCTCTAGTATTACGGTACCCAGGTGTAAATAGGTCAATAGATTCGTGTCCCCACAGCCCCCGGGAAACCCTTGGCAATCGTTTAGTTCATATCAGTTTGAGAGGCGAGTGCTCCAAATGGACATATGCATGTGTAGAAACCCACACAATCTATTGACTGCATCTCAGAATCCTGACCCTAAAACCGAAGAGCAATTCCCGCAGAATCAAAAGGAAGCACTGGCAGACTGTTTGGGTTTTCAGTTTAAGATTTGGTTAGTCTTCAATTCTGCATAACAAAATATTCGATTTTTGAGTTTATTTTAAATATCTGACTTAAGTTTATTATCTGTTCGAGTTCTTTCAAGTATAGAAATGGTTTTCAGTTTGTTTAAACATTAAACCTAATCCTTAAAGTGTAAATCCAAACATGGCAGTCATCCAACCCCAATCAAAGTCACAGAGAATTTGAGAATGTTAAGTTAACAGCGAGAGAAGCAAAGATAACATTTATTTTCCATTCGGATTGCACTGTCAGACTAGATACCGTTATAGTATATACTTCTAATTAATACTCCATTAGAGATCTCCATACTGTCCCGATCCTAGCTAGCATTCGATAGTAGTCCACTTGAAGTCTGTACCTCTGTAGAGCTCGAGATAGGGATGTATTCTAGAAGGTATAGCGACCAAAACTGATCTTCATAAGGTGTATAGTACGATTAATCGCATTTGTAATGGATCCGTAGCTGGATCTATATTGCTTCTGGGGTGCTAGAGCAACCCTCAACGTTTTAGAGATCAGACACTGAATAGGCGCAGAACGATATCTATAGATATGCATCTACGAGTATATAACACGTTAGCCCGATCTATTATGCCCCATATATTCGCCCATATAACCATCCTCGATGTGCAATGGATACATAAGTACTTTATCTAGTTTTTAGCCCCTCAACCCCCCAGCCACGTAAACTAGTTCCTTTCTTGTACATATGTAAATGTATTCCTAATCGCTTAAGGACTTTTAAATCAAAATAATTTTATGCTCACTACTCACCTCTACCCGACGAAGTACCGCATATAACACAACAAAGTCGTGCCAAATGTTTTTAAGGTCTGTTTTAACCTGTTAAGCCCGTTAGAGCCCCCTTTCGATTACGTAACCGTAGGACTTGCCTAACTCCTGGTACCTCTGATTTGGTCAGTCTCTCTACTAGCATCCTCGTTTTCCCACTCGGAACCCTTCCAGTAGACCAAAGCTAAATTTGAATAAAGTACGACTCTAACATTACGTAACATATATCTATATATATATACACATATACATCTGCATATGTTTGTACTTGTGTGTAATCTGAATGTAGAAAGAAAGAAGAAAACCAAATACGACCCAAGCGAGGCTATATCGATGTGTATATCTGTATATCTTATATATAGTGCATATATAGTATATATATTTATCGAGATCTATGTATGTAGAGGAGGAGCACACAGGAACAGAGGCCGGAGAGCGCATTAAATGGATTTTTTGTGTCTGTAGAAAGTTTCAAATTCGAGCTTGGTAATGTAAAAGTAAGCTATAGAAGTCAATATAAGTACACGATAAATTCCACTTACATGACCACGCCCTCTCACCGCCCCCCTTCCATCCGCATGATGAATGTGTCTGTCTGTGTGTGAGTGAAAGTATGTGTGTGTGTGCGGAATAATTAAACACATGAATGCAATGAATTACTATAATAATTATGGGAAAGTATGCAGGCAAATATTTGCACAACTTCCATGAGATTTTACCCCCGTCACCCCGTAGCTGCCCCTTTATTTGTTTTATCGCCGCTGTTGTTGTTGTTTTTGTTTAATGTGTGCCGAGTGCCGAGCGAAGGGATTTTTGTATTTTGGTATTATGAACTGAGCCAGAGCAAATTTGCACGGCGCACACAAAACACGGCAAACAGAACATTCTAGTTTAAACTGAACAACAGAATCCCCCCTTTCTTCCTGCGTACCTCATTTTTGACAGCGCAGAATGAATGATTCAATCAAAGCACCATTTGTCCGCTCTAATGGACGGGATCTGAATCTGAAACTGAAACTGAACCTGCATCCGGAAGGGCGGACCCTGTACATAGGCCATTTTAATTACAACATCATACCCGCGCAGACAGAGCCAATATTTTATTTATTTTAAATCGTTTTAACTAATTAAAACCAAATGGAAACCGCCAACAGGGCGAGAGCAAAAGACAAGTGTAAACACGCAAATAGAGTAATGGGTAATGAGAATAATGAGAGCCCCGACTAGAGGAAATTTAAACTATGCTTTTAACTACGTCTCCCATTTCCCATTTCCCATTTCCAAGTTCCCACTTACCATTTCCCTTTTCCCACGACCGCCACGGACAGAGATGGAAACGTAACTATGATTTTAATTACTCTGCTTGAATGCAAATGGAAGGCACACACAGATCCGGATACCTAAATGCGAAATGTATCTGAATCCGCATATCTGGCTATCTGGTATCTGGGTATCTGCATCTGTTGTCGGTGCATGTGGCATCCATTGAAGGGCCGAAAAAGCGGTAAAATTAACTTTTTATGAGCGCCGCAGAGTGCTGGCAAAATAAATTAAATTCGAATGATGAATAGTAGTAACAAATTTTGTACAATACCATAAAAAACGCATTGCATATTGCATTTTAACTTGAATTCCATTCAAAAGCTGAAATTAGCCAAATCCTACGAGCCACACAGAGTCACAGAATCCATCACGAACGAGAACACTTGTATACTCGTCTACGCATTTATAAATACAAAACATCCCGACAGGACGGGACAGGACAGGACACGGCGAGTACAGTTGTCGACAGGACGGCACAGGACACACGGATACGGACACGGACACGGACACGGACGTGGACACGGACATGCCAGGACAGACAGGAAAAAACGAACATTTAACAAACAATATAACCGAGAATACATTGTAATAGCATTAATAGATTGTCAAGCTTTATTACACACTATATTAACATAGATGGAATAATAATAATTATTATTACAGTAATAATACGAGTAACAGACAAAGAACACAAAGAGAAATATGAATAAATTTAATAAAACCAAAACAAAGCCTTTTCCATATAGAACTTATACATATATATAGATGTATCCTCGTTTTTCCAGCTGAACTGCAATCCCCATTTGCCAATGCCATTTACCATGTAGCATACCGTCATTACAGCCGCACAAGAACAAAAACAAGGCCAAACACAAGCGCAAACAAACGGCGAAAAAAAAAAAGGAAAATCGATTTGATGACATTTCCATAATGGAAAACTTCGCTGCAGTCAAATCAATGTCTCTTCCTGCGCACTTGATGGAAAGTTCTCGCCAAACATTGCAGCCAACTTCCTCAATATCCTAGGACCTACCCCTATATCCTCTGGAAGCCTCCCTTTCCAGCCAATCTGCATAATTTGCCACTTTCCCCCCTCTTATCACTTGTTGATCGTAAACGGTTTTTGGCATATCAAATTTCCGATTTTTCCCATAGCCATTTTCAAATGTTTGCTGGCGATAACCAAACGAACATTCAGAGCATTTCCGCGCCTAATCTCCGCTTCCCAGAGCCACAGCCACCTTTCAAATGCTGCAATAATGACTGCGAAGGAAGTGCACTGAGGGAAATTAGAGGCGTGTTTACTGGCTCGTCAACTGGCAAATTAAACGACGAGTGACAAGCAAACGAACATGCAATGGCCATCGATAGGTATAACAGATCAGCTAGCTGTATATGGAACTTCAAACTGTTACTCTTCTTTGCAATAATTAAGGATCATAAATATATGTAGAAAGCAGTAAGACGACGTTTCTCTCAGTGCCTGGCCAAAATAACATTTTCGTCTTAATGCACTCGCAGCCCATTTAGTCAAAAGTTGCCCCTGCATCTGCGTCAGCAGCCACGTCAGCGTCATCTCCAGCTCATCTGAGCTCCATCGGTGGCAGCACATCCGTTTTGGCCAAAACCACCAAGACCCAGAATCAGACCGAGACCGAGACCGAGACCAAGGAGCGGGCCTCGATTTGAGCCCGTTGGCACCGACTTCGGCTTTGGGTTGTTTCGGTTTGGCTGCCGTCCGTGTTCGAGTCCGCATGCGGATACGTGGGCCATGTGCGGACCCTCGGGGGAATCCGATTGCCACGCATCGAGCACGTACGCCGATGACGACAACCGCAAACTGCTGCGATTTCTAGCAGCGACCTCGCCTGGCTCTCGGCCTCTCAGTCTCCCAGCCCCTCTCAGTCGCACTTTGTGGCTTTCCTGGCAGGGCGCCCACCCACTCGTTAGGTGCACGAAGAGAAAACCTTTGATTGTGTTGCACTGCATGAGTGTCTTTCGAAAGGCACCTGATAAGTATGCTATGGTTATTGTACTTGACTATACTTCACAGGAGGAAATCAATTCCAAGCAACTAAAGCATATTATTAGATATAGAAATTATCGTATTTATAAAGGAACACTTACGAAGAGATAATAGGGCAACCTGAATGCCTTTAAACGTTTTTTTCTCTCTGTGCAGCTCTCCTTGCATTTCGTTACGTATGCAACATTCATTTTTGACAAGCATAATTTGCGGCTGGCCCAGCAGCGCAGCCATTGGGATTTTGGCCCGACCCTCAGTCTTATGTGTTCCAGGTTATTTACAGTTTTCATGGCCCTGCACTTTTCTAATGCAAAAATGATGCACTGCACCCACGCGGCCCACGTTCGCCCACATCTGCCACCCTTTCGGGTGTTTGGATCGCTAGATAGCTGGTCGGCTGGTCGGCAGGTTGGAAGGACGGCTGAGGGAAGTGTGTGGGCCTGGCTGTCTGTGGTCAGAATCGAGCCGGGCTGCGAGGATGCGAGAATGCGGCACAGTCAAAACATGCACTTAATGTAGCATCAGCAGGAGCCAGGAGCCAGTAGCAACGAGGCAGCAGGCAGAAGGCAGAAGGCCTTTTCTGCTTTTGACCGGACTCCGCAGACGCCGCACCGCAGTGGCAATGAAAGTTAGAAACCAATATTTGTGCGGGCCGTGGGCGAAAGCCCAAAGGGAAGACCAGGAGCGGACTTTGTTTGTCCAGTCCCTAAATGGATAATTGAGTTTGGCTCGCATGAATCTGTGAACATTTAGGAATTCGATTGGTTAGGGGATGAGATGGATTGCAACCACAGATACTGAATGAGTTTGTGGGTTTCTGGGGCGAGACTTTTTCGAATCAAATCGATTGATGGGATAATTATCAATTATTGATATCAAAATAAACCTTTTTCCTCACAACACTGAGTTAGGAACTTTTGATAAAAATTAAAAAGTAATTTAGTGGTCTTCAAGCTTTAACTTAGTAAAGATAAAACGGAATGCTGCAGCTGCTTTGTGCAGCTAAAACCCAAAACTAATGATTATCGTCTTACTCCTGACTCTGAGGTTTAACATCTTGACCCTTCTTTTTCGAAAATTTTAATTTATTAAAATTTAAAGGCTTAAAAATCAAAAAACAATTTTTGACAGAAATTTGGAATATATCTTGCGATTTTTAAGCTCTAGGTCGGTCAAAATAAGACGTACAGCCATAATAAGGATATTTTTGTGCTGCTAACGACCACCACTTACTATCACTCGATTTTCTATTTTGGGAAATTCAATTTTCGGACAAATTTCGCATTTTTGATAAGGGGTACCATCATCAAAATTTTCGAAAAATGGCCGAAAATGAAGTTTTCCAGATTTTAATGAAACTCGATTGGGAATCAAAGCATTCAAATTACAAGCCCTACGAGCTATTACAATCCATATTCTGACCATTTTTGGCTGTGCTATGGCAGAAAAACTGATTTTTTTGAGCCCAACGTCAAGTATACGTCGTTCGAAAGCAGAGAGCCAGGTTTCGTTGCCGTTTGTTAGCTCTAATTTTGTCGCACGGCTAAAACATTGACTGTTTTATGCAGCAAACAACCAAAACCTTAAGCCCCTATACTTGGTTTTATCATTACTGTTCTGATTTTTTGGTGCGAGCTCTGATTTAATGGCTGAAAAATCAGGAAGCCTATTTTTAACAGAAATTTGCAATAGTGTGTTCGGTTTTTAGCTCTAGCTCGGTCAAAACAAGCCGCACAGCAATAAGAATGACTGTTTTGCGCTTCTAACGACCACCACTTACCACCCCTATCACTCGATTTTCGATTTTGGGAAAAACAATTTTCGGCCAAATTTCGCATTTTTTATAAGGGGTACCATCATCAAAATTTTCGAAAAATGGTCGGAAATTAAGTTTTCCCGATTGGAGTGCAAATCGATTGGGAATCTTGGCAATCAAATTACAAGCCCTACGAGGTATTACTTTCCATATTTGGACCATTTTTGGCCGTGCTATGGCTAAAAAACTGATTTTTTGGGGTCCAAAGTCAAGTATACGACGTTTAGAGCCCAGATTCTTGCCCTTTCTTAGCTCTAACTTTGTCAAAACAAGGCGCACGGCTAAAAACGTGACTGTTTTATGCAGCTAACAACCAAAACTTTAAACCCCTTTACTTGCTTTAATTATAATTGGTCGGATATTTTCTTGCTAGCTCCGGTTTAAGGGCCGAAAAATCAGGAAACCTATTTTTAAAAGAAATTTGCAATACTGTGTTCGGGTTCATAGCTCTAGATCGGTCAAAACAAGACGCACAGCCAAAAGAACGACTGTTCTGTGCTGCTAACGACCACCACTTACCACCCCTATCACTCGATTTTCGATTTTGGGAAAAACAATTTTCGGCTAAATTTCGCATTTTTTATAAGGGGTACCATCATCAAAATTTTCGAAAAATGGCCAAAAATTCAAGTTTCTCAGATTTTAATGCAAATCAATTGGGGATCATAGCAATCAAATTACAAGCCCTACGAGCTATTACAATCCATATTCTGACCATTTTTGACTATGCTATGGCCAAAAAACTGATATTTTTGCGCCCAAAGTCGTTTGACAGTAGAGAGCCCGGTTTCTTGCCGTTTCTTAGCTCTAACTTTGTTAAAACAAGACGCATAGGTAAACCAGTGACCGTTTTTTGCAGCTAACAAACAAAACTTTAAGCCCCTATACTTGCTTTTGTCATTACTGTTCTGATTTTTTAGTGCGAGCTCTGTTTTAATGGCTGAAAAATCAGGAAACCTATTTTTAACAGATATTCGCAATAGTGTGTTCGGGATGTTAGCTCTAGCTCGGTCAAAACAAGACGCACAGCCAAAGGAACAACTGTTTTGTGCTGCCAACGACCAACACGTAACACCCCTATCACTCGTTTTTCGATTTTGGGAAAATTAATTTTCGGCTAAATTTCCCATTTTTCAATTTTCGCATTTCATCAAAATTTTCAAAAATTGTCAAAAATTCAAGTTTCTCAGATTTTAATGCAAATCAATTGGGGATCATAGCATTCAAATTACGAGCCCTTCGAGATATGACATTCCATATTTCGACCATTATTGGCTTAGTTATGGAAACAATACTGTCGGGTTGAGGGGAAAATAAAGGTAAACCGAGTATCGTCATTTCCAGAAAGGGTAAAATCATTAAAATTTGAAAAAAAGCCAAAATTTGACATTTTAAACTGTGGATACAGTTGAACTAAGAATTTGAAAACAAGCTCAACGAGGTATGACATTCCATATTTGGACCATTATAGGCCATGTTATGGGAACAATACTGTCGGATTTAGGGGAAGATAAGGGTAAACCGAATTTCGCAGTTTTGTTAAAGGGTAACATACATACATTACCTTAATTATTTTCGACTAAATATTGAACACATATAAGTGCATTGTTGTGATTATTTTTCCCTAATAGTTTGACTTATTTTGAAATTACAATAGTGCCAGGCACATAAACCCCCAGATATTAACTCCGCTCCTGCGGACTTAGAAACAAAAATAAATCTGTTTGCCAAACAGTTATTGCTCTTGTTTTTGCGCCGCTGCCACAAGCTCCTCCTCATGGTCCTCCTCCAAAACTAATGCCAACTCCGGTTTCCCCTTTCCGACCCTTTCCTTTCCTTACCGTTCCGTTCCGGCTCCTTGCGATCCGATTCCCCACGCAACTCGTCCCGGCAATATGTGCGCCCATTTTATGCCTTGCATTTGGCAACGGCTCAATAATTGGTCAGTAGATTGGGAGTGGGCGTTCAAGTGGGTGTGGGCGTTCAAGTGGCCGAAGGTGGGGTTGAAGTTGAGGGCCATGGGCTCGTGACTCAGGTGCCCGCAAAGCTTTCTATAAATTCAAAGTCCATGGTAGTGATTATGCAAGTTGGCTTAGCCGACGGCCATGTGGATGCATTGGTCCTGGAATCCTAGAATCCTAGAACTGCCGCCTGCGGCGCGATAGCTGCAGAACGAAATTGAATATGGGTTATGAATGGGAAGCATCGTTAGTTTCCCGGACCCCTGCCTCTGTCCCATTTTATTTCCATCTTCCTTTCCGCCAGAAAAACAAACAATGTCAGGACTGGAGTCCCGGATGCAGACCCCCATGGCTAGCCGGAGTGCTCCGCAATTTATGCCTGCCACCGGCGAAGTTAAACGTATTTCTATTATTAAATAAACAGAAGGGGTAAAGGCATTTAGCCCTTAAATACTTTTGTTCTCATTTCAAAACAGCCTAAAATATCCGTTTTCCCCATTAAAACTTATAGGTGAAACGAAGCAGATATTTGCATCTCTGGCTGCCAAATCAGATGCGAATGAGCCGGAAAAATCGCAGCCACACGCCCATTGTTCTCACCTTCTCAGGCAAATCAATACCGCCGCTTAATGGTACATTGCACCTCGGAGAGGAGGCGAAGGGCGGGTCTCGGCCTTTGATCCCTGTGCCCTAGCCCTATCCCTTACCATATCCCTTGTACAGGTGCCCCTACCTGGCCATTGATTAAAGTGGTTCCTTTGCAAATTTATGTTCGGAATATTAACCGAATTGCTCCCCGAGGAAAACTCCCCAGCCACTCTCACTCGAAAAAGAAAAACTTTTTCCACAATGTACTCATGTAGTACACACCCACACACACACACACACGGGCAATCATATGAAAAAGGGGCCAAGGCAACTTTTTTAACAGTTTTTTGGATTTTGGAATACAAATTATGTAAGTAATCTCAATTTATTGATATATGGAGAAGCATGTTTACACGTGGCCAGCTGCAACTCGACATTGTCGCTATTTTGGATTCCTGGTGAAGGTCTATATTATAGGTGGGAAGGCGGGAGATGGGAGGTGGGAGGCTGAGTGGGTGGAGGCCATGTCTGCCCGAGTGTGACCCTTATGAATGGGGCAACTTTTGTCTTTCTTCGTCGCATTTTATACCCTCGCAGCATTATAATTTGCCATGAATATATGAAAACCGTTTGTAGAAGTTCAACCGTTGCGGGGTCCTTGGGTTACGGGCCACCACCCACTTCGCTGGGGATTGTCAGCCTGGGAAATGGTTTATGTAATGGGATTCATAACTTGTTTACCTGCCAGCGGGGTTATATCTAGCCGGGAAGTGCTGCCTGAGAATGTCCAGGGTCCAGGTCTCGCTGGCGCAGCCTTTTAATTTTAATTAAACTCCTCGAATTGCCATAAAAGATTTTTCGTGAGGCTGCCCAATGATTTATGACAGTTTCAAGGTTATTCGCTCCATTATAATTTCATGTAAATGCTTCTGCATTTCGGTCATTATTTAGCTCATTATTTTCCAAAGCAAGTTCGACCAGATCATCGCATAAACCCAAACTTAATTACCTGAAATTATGATGCATGCCCTTGTCCCCCCTGCGCCTGATTTATCTTTATGGCCTAGTGTTTTCCGATCTAATCCCTGACTAGTTGTAAATTTCCCAACTCTTCACGGTCACATTTCAAGTCTAATCCTTCATATAAGCTTGATTAATAGGATGTTAAATAATTTATTATTACTAAATCATATTTTTTCTGCGGCACAATCTGACTATCATATCAATAGTTACCATTTCGAGAAATGTAGCCATAAAATTAAAAGAAACTCGGTTTAAAGTGGTGGAGTAATCACTCCTTTTCAACAATATATAAAAGTATAGAAATATAATAAAGGAACAATATAAGAAGAATTTTCAAATATCAAAATGCCCGCAAAGCTGCGTTGCCAACTGTTTCGCCTAGCGAAGTTATCCTCCCGACCAGAGTTGTCAACTGCAAACAGGCCAGTTTGAAAGACAATTATCGTTGGTAAATATTCATGAATATTTAGATACATACAAATATCATAATATGCTATCAATCCAATATTATATTTTAACTAGCAAAAAACGTAATTTTATAAATTCCACAATTTTAACTGTTTGTTAATATCATTAACTTTTGAACTGCGCGCCAAATGAATTTAGTATTTTAAATTATCTGGCAGCAATGGCAAGTTATCGAGGCTTGTACATCTATTACTTGGGACAAAATAAACTATCGATTCGCCTGGGACAATCTGCATCGATACCGATTGCACTGGTACTTGGGAAAAAATAAACTACAACAAAACCATTAATTAAACTAGGAAAGCGCTGCGTTACATCAATTGAGAGGTAATCGCTGTACGCGGAAGTTTCGAGGTCCGGCGTCAGGAGTTGACAGACTCCACGGCATCCAGAAATTAAAGATTTAGGACCACAATTATGAGAAATTGGTAAGACACGGGCACAAGGAAATTCTCTCCGCCTTTCTACGCTTTGCCTCCGCTCGCCCGATTTGTCCTATAAACCGAGCATGCAGAACAACACAGAAACACCGAACTAATTGTGTGCACATTTTTTGCAGATGCCCAGGCAAATGAATCTCGCCTAGATACAGATCGCCCAAAATAGTTCCGGTTCCGGCCTGTAAAATGCCATCAGGAGAGCCACAACAGTGAGGCCTTCCTCGCACGAACTCGCAGGTGGGTAATGCAAAAGGGGGCAATGCAAATGCAAATAGGCAGAAGGAGTGATAAACACGCTGCAAATACTCGCTGATGTTGCCCAGGTGACGCAAAAAGAACGGCAAACAAAAACACGCACGACATCGTCACACTTTGCATTTATACATAGTCTTGCCGCTTGGCGAATTCGTCACATTTCGCACACTTCGGCGAGTCTGGTTGTTATGGTATGATGTATATCGTATTTGTGGTTTCCGGGTTTAATTCACAAAGTGGTAGTATATGATTTAAACGGTAAAACTCCCCAATATCACCAATATAGTTTTTGGGCATCGCATTAGTTTTATCTGCTAAACCTCTCTGGCATAACCTCTGGGCTATTTATTCATAATTCACGACCTTTTCTTGAAGAAGTTTCTTGAATATTATATGTTACTTCCATCTCTTTCATCATTTATAAGTTTAAATCAAAATTATCATCACTAACGTAGCTATTTTGCAATGTAAGGAATTTCAGCAGAATGTAATATTTATTCATCACCTTCATTAAGAAAATATTCTTATATAAGATCTCATTTATAGTCATTTACACAGAGCATGGAAAGCACGGACAGCAGCGACAGCAGTGGGGACAGTTTGAAATCCATTCCCCGACCGGACTTTGAGGCCCTCTCTGCCATTGACAGCCCCCAGCCGCACTTGCAGAGCTCTTCTCTGGATGGCCACATCGAGATGGAGTCGGTTATCGTGCCCAGCAAGCGTCAGAAGTACGTGGTCAGTGCTCCCCCGGGATCGGTCAACGGTAGTAGCCACTCTTCCAGTTCGAGTCCTTCGACGGCTAACGTGGGCTCCTCGCTCACCATGAAGTTGACAAAGGTGCAGCCACAACAACAGCAGGTCCGGTCCTCGCCGCCCAACAACAAGGCAAAGGTGACCAAAGAAATGTTGGCACTTCAGCGTTCACACATCGAATCCGAAGTTCTCAGTAACTTTGTGACTGGTGTCTCCAAATTAAAGCGTCGGAAGTCGCGCCATGCGCCAGGGAATCTCGCCACTCAGGCATCAACTGGAGAGCTGTCCCGCAGCTTAAATGCCACATCTAAAAATGAAAAAAAATCTCTTAAGGTGGCTCTAAAAAGGAGCAAGAGCATTCCGGCTCCCTTCCTGGATTCTGATGAGGACTGGCAGGATGACGATGTTGAAAGAGTCGTCAGGAGTAATAGACCGCGAGGAAAGTCGATGGCATTTGACGATGGGGAACGGCTGGCTGAGCTAAACACAGAAGACAGCAATTCTCGTGGGGTTCTTCTTGCTCGCTGCCGATCCCGCAGCAAAACTCTATCCCTGAGTAACAGTTGGAGCATTGAGGAGAAGGCGCCGAGGCGAAGCAACCTGCGGAGTGAGAACGAGGACTTTGCCAAAAAGCACAACGCCTTTCTTGATCGCGTCATCCACGATGACCACGATGAATCGGAATTGACACCGAACAACTCGGGTGAGGGCGACGTCGGCATGGACTGGCCCGAAGGTGAGCTGGAAGCCCACAGTTCGATCTTTTCGGACGCGAGCGACTTGAAGGCAGCCGAGGCCAAAAACCAGGAGGACGAGGCAGCCGAACGGCTTGCTCTCATTTGGGAGGAGCCACCCATGGTAAGTGGCGTCAGTGAAATATAAATCCAGTTAACTTAAATCTAAAAAATGCCACGTCTTATAAATTCGTGGGTTCATCATGCTTATAAATTGGTAAATATTTTTTAAGCTTTGCAATTCTGTCTTTCAGCCTGGCTGGGACCCGTTCTGCTGGAAATGCCGGCAATGCGGAAAGCTGATGCCCTGCTCCAAGTGCCTGCGCTCCTTTCATACCTACTGCGTGCGACCCGCCACCACCAAGTTCGATTCTTCTTGGAAGTGCCCTGAGTGCCAGGTGATCGAGACAGCGCCCAAGAGGTGACCTGGCATTTCCTTATCAGTAAACCCGCTTTACTCATTATTTTTTCTTTTCTAGGCTGCGACGCAATGGAGTTTCCGTGGATCTCCTCAGCCAGCTACTTTCCTTCGCTCTGGACCGCATGAGGCATGTGCGCGGGGTGAGTGAGCATGCTGGTTTTCAAATTCATATTCCATCGGCTCTGTATGTACAGTATCTCGTTTCTTGTCAAGATTTCATTATCTTCCATGACATCGTTCCAAAAGTCACGCGAAATTAGTGTGCTCCGGCAATTTGCACAACAACTCGGAATAATAGGAGGGAATGAGAGAGCTTTAACATCAATAGTTATTGATTAATCATTCATATAATATCCTACCCGTTTACATGTATTTTAGGGGTGGCATTGGTTCTGAACTCATTGTGCCCGCAGCCACAATTGACATGGGTAATGGGTCTGTGTTTTTGCGCTTTGTCAGCCGCCACTCGTTTCCATTTTTTCTCTCGTTTTGCGAGCGTATTTGCCGAGCAGATAGACACCTGAAATGTCTCGCTGGTTTGCCGGGTTATTCGGTTCTTGGGTACCAAGTTCACTCTGCGTTCCCTTGACCCTTTGGGCTACAGCCCCACATCTCCACATTCGGAATTAGCTCCATTTTAACGACAGATGGGGGCCACAGTCGGAGCTGCTTAACTACTCACGTGGTTTGTTTCTCTGCGTTACTTATCTGCCAGTCGTTTCCGATGGCCAAAGGCCTGCTGGTGTGGCTAATGGGTGGCTGTGTTCGTGTTTGTGAGGGCCTCGTGTACATGATAATGAGGTTTAATAGTCTGAGCTACGCAAATAGAGTGCCTTTACTCTGCCGGGTTTCAATATCTGACTCTAAAGGTCGGTTTTAGAAACTAAATACGATCAGGAGATGGTTTTTTATAGAAATGTTAAATAAATTTTTTTTATTTTATTAAACTTTGTTGTAATATTACCCCCAAATAACTCGATTGTAACCAAATTCTTAATTTAGAAGAACAATTAATATAAGACCGAGCGAAATTGATTAACTTCTTCCTTCTATTAATTTCCCCGGATTTATATTGTAAGACCTAAAAATAGAAGCATCTCCCTGTCTATTGCCTTCATTAAAGACCGAGATTCCGATCTACTTAGGTTTCCAAAGCAGGAAGACGAACAAGGAACAATAAATAGCAGTGACTTACATTTTCTCAGCTCACAATTCTCTCTCTCTCCCCATCCCCCGTCATAAGACATAAAAAAACACATATAATCACATACATACGAACACTCTGGCGTATCTGGGGAAAAGCGAGAACTTGTTTTCAAACGATAGGAGCTTGCCGAGCGAACGCTCTCTTTGAATTTGTAAACGCTACTCATGCACCCTCTGCCTCTCCAAAACTATCTTATACCCCGCAGGCCCACAAACTGCGTTCGCCGCAAGAGGTCTTCCCGCTGACGTACAAGAAGTATTTTGTCAATCCGGTGAGCTTCGATAGCCTAGCGAAGCGCATCCGCAGTGGGGCTTACCAGAGCACAGAAGAGTTCCTCGGCGAGGTGAAGTGGATTCAGCACAATGCCCTCATCCTGGACAACGGAGGTGAGTGGATTCAGTTTGTCGGTTAATAGGAAAACATTTTCTAATAAATCATACCTTGCAAATCTTGCAGATGTTAAAGTGGAGCAGGCCTCGAAGGCAGTAGTTAAGGTATGCCGGCAGGAGGCCAATGAAATCGACACCTGCCCCGAATGCTATCTGAACGCAAATTCTAGCGACGAGTGGTTCGTCAAGGTTTGTCGCCATCCACATCTCCTGCTCTGGGCAAAGCTGAAGGGGTTCCCCTACTGGCCGGCCAAGGCTATGGGCTCGTCCAATTCCGCAATGGTGAATGTGCGCTTCTTTGGCAAGCACGATCGAGCTTTCGTGCCCGTAAAGGACTGCTTCCTTTACTCAGCTCAGAATCCAAACACGCAAACCAGCCGGAGATCAGCACGGGATCTGGCGGAATGCATTCGGGAGGTCGAGGTTCACATTGAGCAGATCAAACGGAAGATTGGGGCGTTCAATTACGCTGCTTATCGCATCCCCTACGATCCTATGGAAGAACAGCAACAGCTGGAACAGATGATGCCCGGAGTATATGAGGCCATTGATAGGGAACTTGAGCCGGCCAATAAGACACCCCTGCAGTTTCTTATACGAAAAACTGCGGACGATAAGTTGTCCATAGTGAAGAAGACGAAGACCACGGAATCAGGCAACGAGTCGGATCAATCGCCCAGTCCCACGAAAAAGCTTTCGGAGGTGGAATCTGCCACGGTATCAGGATGCGGATCCATCGAGCATTCCAAAGTTAAGAGCAACAACTATGAAGTTATACCCAGATCTGGCGAATCTCTGACCGACTCTCGCTGCAAGGTTCTGCTTAAAAGGAAATCTCTGGTTGCCAAGACAACTTCTGAATCTGTAGAAGCCTCGGAAGCGGTTCCCACGAAACGCAAACATTCCCTGAGTGATGCTAGTTTCACCAGCGAATCCAGCGACCACAAACGCAAGTCGAAACATGCTAGGAAACAACAAGAGCAGGATAAACCCGTTGAAGGACAAGAAGAAGCGGCCCAAGAACCTCCGAAACCGGCAGCAACCTTACATCAAGAGGAACCAATACTAGAGGAAGAGGCGGCCAAGGAGTCTTTCGCCAATGACACTTCAACCACATCTTCGCCGGCTTCTGCCTCTGTAGTTTCAGTGGTGGAATTGGTCAGACGACGCCAGGGTGTGACCATTACAAAGATACCACGCGAACAGCAACAGACGACAGCCACAGAAAACACTGCGAATCCTCCTGTTCCTCCTTGTTCTCCTCCAACGGCTCCTCCCCAGTCAACTGTAATTAAACAAAATGTCCCAAAACGAACTGAAATTGCGAATCCAAAACTGTCTGAGGTGGAGAGACAGCAACAACAGCTGATCAAGAAAGTTATTCCATTCATAGAAATCAAAACGGAAGTGATGTCGGAGCCTGAGGACGAAGAAATGCCCACGAACCAAATCAGTAATCAGCCTCCAACTGATCAACATGAACCGCAAAAGGAGCAACAGGCGGCAGTCACCGTCAGGCCAGAATCTCAATTGCCAACTTCTCTGCCGCCACCAGTGCCGACTCCCCAACCCAAAATTGTGGAGCTTCCACCTCCAGACAAAGTCAGAATCAAGGAGGAGATTCTTAGCGAGGATGAAATGGAAACTGATCAACCCAGTCTTAGCCAGAGGTTTGACCAAATGCCACCCATGCCCCTGCCTATGCCTCCACCTCCTCCTATGCCACCACTGGAGGAGACACCCGCAACAGATGACTTGGTTCGGTTTGTGGGCGATACCACCATCCAAAGAGTGAATCATAAACAGGGGGTGAAGTCTACGGACTCAGCCGGAAAAAGAAAAGTAGTGCCTCAAGTTCCCGTGCCAATTGTACCCCAGTCATCGTCACCAGCCACCTCGCCTCTCCAGTCGTCCGCTTCCTCACCTTGGACATCACCAAAGTCAACTAGCATTTCGGCCGCCAGCAAGCCGCCGGCACCATCAAAAGGAAAGTCACCGCCCCAACAGCAGTTCCGAATGAAAAACGATCGGACTCCAACTTCTCCACCAGACACTGCACCGCCGGCCACCACCACGTCATCTTTGCTGAGATCCAATATGGTAGTAATTCCAGTGGAACAAGCTGGCAGTTGTAATCTGAACAGTCCCATGACTATCCCGGTTCCACCGCTGAGAGCCGTTTCTAAGAATACACTACAAAATCCTTCAGCGCAACCAGCTCCCTCTTCTGTTCAGATGCCATGTCAACCCAGCAGCTCCGCAAATATTCCTCCACCCCTAGCCGGTTTGAGTGTTCCTCAAATGGGCTTACAAACATCACCCGAAGCCACCACGACAAACAATGCAGAACCAGTCTGCCGATTGGCCAACGCGTTGAACGGACTGACCAGCGATTCCGTGGCCAGTGAATCCACATCTAATGATCCCATAACTCCAGGCTTAGCCACTGCTTATAGTGAGATGATCCTGCGTTCCGGTGTACCAAAGCTGGTGGCTCGGCCCAGTGGGCCACTCCGGTCGGATGGCTCCCAAATATATCCCTCACAAGCGGGGCCAGTTTCCCAAAAACTCAAGGAGAACGCACACAAGGTATGTTTGAAGTAAATTAGTTAGATGACTCTATTATAGCGTTTTCTCTTCTCTATTCGTTATTTTGCAGATCACGGACTATTTTATCTCCGTCATCGAGGACACGCTTAGCGATATGGCTACTGGAGATCATAGCGTCCTCCAAGCTCGTATTGCCGGTCTGTCGCTAGAGAACGAGCGCCTGAAGCAGCACTACGAGCGCCAAATGAGCGATTTCCAGCGCACTAGCGAAATGATGATTGCCGAGATGCGTAAGAGTTTGGAGCAGGAGCACAAGCGCGTGATTTGCGATCTCCGCCAGCAAAACGCCATCGAGCAGATGAGAGCGGTGGAAGAGGCGAAGAAGAAGCAGTGGTGCGCCAACTGCATGCGTGAGGCGCAGTTGTACTGCTGTTGGAACACCTCTTACTGCGACTATCCCTGCCAACAGATGCATTGGCCTAGACACTCTTCCACCTGCGGTCAGGCAGTGCCACCCGCAAATCCAGTACCCATGGCTTCGACTCCGATAATCGAGCCTGGCCGACCCAGAACCAAAGTGGCCTTGTCAACGGCGACCCCACCTGCTACTACTCCCAGTCCAAGCTCACAAATTATTCGAACAGTTGCCGCCTGTCCACCAGCACCATCAGTGACCAACACACCCAGCTCTAAGAAGTGGCCGCCTATGATGTCGTTGCTCAACCAACCCAATCCGGAGGCCGTGCTCAAGTTGCCTGCCACAACATATTTGCGGCCGGTGTCCAGCACAACAATGCCAGCTACGGTGACAGCTTCGCCACCTGTTAATAACAACAGCAACAACATGAACGTAATAATGACACCAACACCATCGGGAAACCATCTGGCCAATATCATGTCCTCACAGCGGAATCCACCAAGCTTCAACCTCAAAGCCGCCAATCAGGCGATGCCCGTGCAGCGCTTTAATATACCAGTAAGTTAATTAGGTATCCTATTAATCCTTTTCGTAATCGTTTGACTCTTATTTTTCAGTTACCCATCACAGTGAATACAAATGGTCCTTTCATGATCACAGAGCAGCATCAGAAGCAAGTACCAAAGGCCTCTGGGCGCAGCTCTGGCAAAAACAGCCGTATGCGCCAAATATACAACAACAATAGCCACAATAGCAACCCTCAAGGAATGCGCAACAACAGCAATCCTCAAGGAATTCGCCAGAACCAAATGAATCAACAAGTGTTCCAGCCATAAACCGTGGGCGAGTTTCAAAGCGCAAGAAGGTTTTCCACTTGGAAAGACTGCCTGTAGTTCAGGAAATAATTTCTTTGATATTCCGGAGAAACTCAGAACAGATTGATTTTATACCTTGATCCCCCAATGATCAAGCGTATATAATTTCGTAAACTACCAACTTAATCTTTATATATTTATCTCATTTTCCCGGAGCCCAGCTATCGCTGATAGTTTTTTTGTAGAGTAAGTTGAATGCCGCTGAAAGACGAGAGTGTAAAATAATGTTATCATCCAATAATTAGGTATAAGATTTCGATACATGTTATAGTAGTTTCGCTGGTTTTACCATAACTTAACCACCACCTAGTAAGTAAGAATCATTGCAAAGCCATCAGATGGACTTTGCATCAACCTAGCTACTAGAAGATACTAAGCTCATCCCTCTTTTCATTTAAATCATCCTGTAAATTGTTTCTGTCATCTATTTTACATACATACTATGTATATTTAGAGCAAAGCTTCGAAGTGAATAAAAGATACATTTATTTTCTAATTGATAACTTGGCCAAATCGGGACAGAAAAGATGACTTGAAAGGATTTAAGAGAGAATCGAAGGACGAGAACGTGGGGTGTTGTTCTTTAAGATTGTAAAAGTATGCAACTATTTTTGATATAGCTGCCGCCCAAAAGTATGCTGTGAAAATTTCGAACTTATTTTTTAACCCCTCAATGAAATCCATGATGATTACCAAGTAAGAGAGATTTTTTAGTTTATCAAACACCTTTAAACCAAAAACAATTTTTCTAAGCTAACAATTGGCTCAATCGATGTCCAATTTCTTAAAGTTGCCCTCTATTCCAAAGAGGTCCGAGGCATTTTTGGCCTTGCCGGGTCTCAGTTTTTCGTTGATCTGATGGCGAGTCTCGAACTCGAGCATTTCCTTACGATTGTCCAGCAGCTTTTTATAGTAAATCTCTGAGGAAATTTATTAACTCATTTGATTAACTTCTCCAGGTTCTCCAGGCTTGACTCACCTTTGGCCAAAGTGGTTTCCTCCACCTGACCTCCGTATTCCTTGGGAAGCATTTCCTGGGGCACAAACTTGTAGAACTCCTTGAAGTCGCTATGCACGTGCAGTACAGTGGTAAGTTCCTTTTTCATGAAGGGGGTCATCAGCGCCAGAATTTTATCCATGAAAGGCACTATGTTAATAAAGTGGAATCCGATCAGCCTGATGGCAGCCGCTTCCTAAAAATCCATATATGCTTAATCTTTCCTTATCATTATTTTTTGGCCAAATTACCTGCAGGTAATAGAGGAACTTTTTCATTTGCAGAAGGCCAATGCGAGCAACGTGCCCCAAGGAAGTGTTTTTCAGATCGATTACGATGACGTGTCCTGGCTGAATGCCATCTTCGTACATCCAAAAGTCAAATACCATACAGTATCTGGAGGTATAGAAGAATGAAGTTTTTTCCTGAGTGTACTAAAACCGACATCCCCTGAACTACACCCTTGGCTGTCAAGCTTTCTTAATTGTTAGTTCTTAATTGACTGCCATTATGCAGCAGATTATAATGATCGTTTAAAGCGTCCATGATTTGTGAGTGCCTGTAGATTAAGGCAAGGTGTGTATCTCGGTATCCGGAATGGCGAAATGTGCCGTGCGTGCTTTTGGTTGCATCGAGTTTGAGGTTTCAGTTCGGACCTTTAATCTCTACATGCTCCGTATGCCTTGTCATAATCACGCCACAGATGACGTGTAAATTTCGGTCGACCGACAGTAATTATCAGCCGTTAATACGAAGTTGAATTAAACTTGTGTTTGCAAACAGTGTATTAACTATTTCACTTTGGGCGAATAAGAGTTAAATTGTAATTACGGTCGAGCTATGAAAGTTGATTTATAGTTTCTAGCTTCCTTTTAATCTTTCCTCATTATGATGAATTATGATCTCCCAAGTACTCACAGTTTCATAACGTCTGCAAAGTTATAGTTGCAGGCATTCAAGTCGTCGAGCTTGGCGAGGATCACCCGATATCCTTCGGGAGTGGCCCCTGGCAGAGGAACAATGGAACTAAACATGCATAAAGGAAGGACATTAGAAACATCTGGCAAGTTGGCCAAGGGCAAGGGACTACTAAAGTCAGGTTACCACCCACACAGTTCGCATGGCGCGCCTGACCTCGGGACGTTCGCTGTCGAGATTCACAAAGAACTCCTCCAGGTGGGTACGAGCCGTGAGATTGGTGTCCAGGACCTGCTTGGCCACCTCCATGCTGTAGCGGCAGGCATGGAAGAAGTGCAGGGCCTCGCCCTCCGAAAACCTATCCGAGATGTGCGGCTGGGCATGGATCCAGTCCACAAACTTCAGCACCTCTGCCCGCTTGATCTCCGGAAAACTGGCATACTGATCCTCCAAATTGGCTTCCCTCATTTTTGGGCTGCTCCGGGATTTACTTTTGATTGTTGCGCTACTTGGCCCGAAACGCTGTTAAGCGCGGTCAACTCTCGAATGAAATGGAAATGGAAGCTGGTTGCTTTCGCAAGTGAAACTGGTTGGCCGTCTGAGTTGGCTTGGCGAATTCGGCATGCAATTCCATCAGTTCGGGATGGAATCGGGAACAGAGGCCATTGGGGTGGGGAGTTGGGGCTAGCATGTGTTCAGGAAAAACTAGCAATGGCTTTCGTTGGCCGCACGGAGAGAAACACCTCTCACTTTTTTTTGACTTAACAAAACGAAATGGTGGGAGAGCAATTGGATTTGATAGAAGTTTATCAAATACGTTAACTCTTACTTAATTTATGATTATTATTCTAGCAAGAGAAAGAGAAACAAAGACAAAATCAACAAGCTATCAAACTTTGTTTTCTGTGTATTTGTCATCGGCTTTTTCACTTCCCTCCATCAGGCTGCGTGAAAATGCATTTTTTACCCGCCTGCTGTTGCCGTACGGTTATTATTTTTTCTCTCTCCGGGATTGCATAACATGTGATCAAGTGATTGGACGGCCGATCCATGACGAGGGGCCTGTTATTATTACTTCGCATGGCGTGTGCCCGGGAGATCTAGAGATTTCAGCTCCTTCATCAAATCCAAATTGTGACGCTTGACTGGCGAAAGGAAACTATTTAAAGCTCAAAAAAAATCGAAGACTTGAAGAAGATGCGAATAATGAACTCGCAGAGTACATAACCTACATGAATTTTGTTATTTTTAAGTAGAGAAATTTAAGGTGAAGGCTCTTCAAGCCTTATTCATCCAAACTTGGTAAATATCCACATATATCAGTTGCATAATAATCGAAATATTCAAAGAATCCTTTTGCCAAATAAGATGTCACAACTCCTCGGAGTTACTCAAGACGCAAGGCAAGTGCATACATACGTGTGGCAACTATGTCTTCGACTTTATCCGCGGAGTCTAGCTGCCACAACGTCCCCATTTCCGCGGCAGACACTTGACATTTTGCCAACAGCAGACACCAGCCAGCCACTCAGCCGGTCAGAAATTCAAACCTGGCTAGGCAGCCTGTGGCTAGAGGTTTAGCCAAGTACTGGGAAAAACAGTTTTGTCGAGTATTCTTTATTGGTTCTATCCTATGATTCCCGTACAAGAAGCTAGAAATATTCAGCAAATAGTTTATTATAAAGAGAAGTAGGGGATTTCTCGCAGTGTATCTGTGGCATGCTTTGCTCATTTAAAACAGCCGGTGCGCCACTTTGGCGTGTCTGAAATTCCAAACGGATTAGAAGCCGCGCTCAAAGAGCAAACGGCAAACAGCAAATGTTTGCTGCCAATGGCAACCAGTTTGCCAGCCCGAGAAGTGGACACTGCGGGCCCGTTCATGGGATCCACGGGCGGAGATGCGGAGTTCTGTTTTATTTTGTCCCGCTGGGGGCAGGTGTCTCTGTGTCAGCCTCGAGTGTCAAACTAGGTGCCAATCCGAAATTAATTATACATCCCCAAATCCGAGCTTGAATCAAACCTCTACTTGAACTTAGGGTCAGGTGCAGCCAAAGAGTTGTGGCAAGGGCAACGTTACTAAGAGAGCTGAGATCGATTATCATCCGAGAATGAAGGCTATTAGCATTCTTATTAGAAAATAAACTAACTTAACTCAAAGGTGTTCAGTGTTTACAACCTAAAAACTTTAACTTAAGCTCGTAAGAACATAACTTTACTTAATAATCCAATAGTCCAAAGTATTTAGCAAAGCTAAAGTAAGACAACAGACGAGCAGACGAGAATATTTAAGCAATGGTGACCCAAAAAAGCAATCACAGGAATGGCCATGCTAATCGTGGATCAGGTTTCCGAAGACCACGACCACGATGATAATGAGAATCGCAAGGTGGTGACAACACCGTTTGCGTTGCGACGTGCGTTCTTTTCAAGTTGCCGTCATGCTCGGAGTCCTACGAGCAGGTTGCCTTTTTGGAACCCCGACTCCCCATCCTTCTTGGCAACCCGCCCCACCCATTTTCTTTGAAAGTTTCCTGAGCTCTTTTGCTGGATGTGGCTTTTATTTGTTCCCTGGCCATTTTTCACGCATTTGACTGCATTACTTAACCTCAATTTGGCAGACGACGTGCATCAACTTGCCACACTCCCATTACCGACTGCGAACCACTCCCCGGCCCACTTGACGCCCCCCTTTCGGACCAACGGTTGCGTTTCCGTTGCCCACCAGAGCTCCGTTGAACAAATGAAGTTGTCGCGTCGGCTTACAGCAATTTGCATATTTCCCCTCCACCCGGACCGCCGTCTTCGGGAAGAGCGGATCCTGTCCAGCTCTGGTTGTCCATTTCAATTGTCGATCGATCGCACAGCCCTGCCTCATATTTACACTAAGCAAAATTTAGGACTTTGAGGTATAGTTTGATGTTTAATCTTAAGGCTACGTTTTAGTCTTTTCTCTCGGTGTAACGACTGCTCTGGCACCTCGCGGTCCTACCTTTCCTCTAACAATAAACGGGGGATTTGGCTGGGGCAACTCCTATCCAAACACGCGTTCGTCGTTCGCCGGCTGAAAAAGCTTCAATTGTTCTCCCAGTCGAAAACTCGTTTTGCGCATGCGCGCCTTTTTAATGTTTTCTTTTTTCGATTGTATTTTATTCGGTGTTGCTCTTTTTGTGTTATTTTAGCGGTTTTTGTTTTGATTTCTGATTGCCGTTCGAATGTCTTTTTCAGCCCGAAGTTGCTGCTGCGGTCGCTGGTGCTGCCTGCCGCTGCTGCTTTTTGTGCCGCTGCTGTTGGCCACTTTTATTTACGGTGGCAAGTGTCGCTTGACAAATTGATTTTGATTTGTTTGGTCTTTTTTCGTTGTTTCGTGTTCTCTGTTTTGCCTTATTTTGTATTTCGTTGGCCGCGTATGCAAGCCGGTAATGAGTAGTTTTTGTTAGGGGCTTGGCAACCTTGAAGCGAATGCAACTTCGCCCAGGGAAATGACTGTTTGGAAAAGCATTAAATTGCTTTAGTTCCCAGCCGAACAGGAACTGGAATCAACAGCAATATCCATCCAATTATCGCTTCCTTCGGTCGATTCAAATTGGAAATTGGAAATCAAACAGCAACAGTTGAATGCACTCGGTGGCGGGCCACAGGCGGGGGTGGAAGGTGCGGCCTTGGGGTGGGGAATGCCTGGGCGGGGGTAACTGTGCATTACACGCTCGCTGGCATCCTGTTTCATGCAACAGCAAGCAACAGGATGCCGCACAAACACTCCGAAATCCGAGGGTTGCTCTGCCCAGCACTAAGAAAAAAAGTAACTTCCTGAACTTAACTTTGAAACCCAATGAAAATTCTTTATTACACGTATTTCCTAGTGGAAAAAATAAACCATTGATCGAACTAATTGAGAACTTTAAGGCACAGAAAGCATTAAAGTTTTATTAAATTGTCTAACGAAGTACACCCCATTTTCTCCATGTGTGCCCTCCCTAAATGGCCCTCGAAAAGCCAACCAAAGTCAGTTACAAGTGAATTCCAAACAAAGCCCGTCCATCCAACACCGCTATCCATTCCATCCATCCATCCATCCACTCAGCGATCGCACAAAAGGCCAGGCAGCACAATGCTCAGGGCCCTCTGAAAAAAGCAGCTAAGGAACAGGGACACCGAACCCCGAGGACTGGAACAAAGGAAGATCAGTCGTGCGTCTCGAAAATCCTTAAGCCGCAGGAAAAAAGACAACAAGGAATTCTCGTATTCATCAACGGCCGAACACCTGATGATGACTTTGACTGCGACACCTGAACGTTAAAAAATGATAATTAGACGGTCTAGCAACCCTCTGCCAGACAGACGTTACAATCGGCCAGGTAAGCAGGGCAACAGTGGTGGAATCTCAGTTGGGTCTTCTTCCTTCTCGTGCTCGCCTAGTGTGAAGCGATCGTTTGACTATATAAATGTTGCCATCCAGGGGTGGTTGGAGAGACGGGAAGGATATTCGGAAGCCAGGAGTGTCTTCGAGGCATTCCACCCCTGGTGGACTCGCTTGAGAAGATGTGCCGCGCCCTAATTAGTGGCAGCCAAGAGGCAACAGTGCATCGTAAAAATATGCGCATATCAAGAACTCCTATCTACATAATTATTAATTCAATATTTCCTGCCAACTCTTGCGCCCCAGTTTCGTCTCGTCTTGAAGACTTGATTCTGAGGAAAACACAAACTTGGCGCAGGGAAAGGAAGGGAAAGGAAACGAGCACTTAACTTCAAGGACCACAGATACTGTGGAATGAAAGGGGAGTTGTACTCGACAGCCGGATCAAGTAAGATCAGAAGAGAAAGCACACAAAAGGAAGGAGTTCTGGATGGGCCTTGGGATGAAAGTATATCGGAGAGAAGCGAAAGGGGACTTATTCTTCGAAGCAGGATTGTTTTGGATTGATGTAAAGTTAATATGTATATAGATGATCAGGAATTACATCCAACACTTATGTAGACTATCTTGCCACCCCTTTGATCTTCCCCAGAGACAAACTCGTCGCAAGCTCATCTTATTGTATCTCCTCGGCAGCTCTTCCTCTCTAGCGGCCATTAACATTGTAGCATTCTACGCTTTCGCCTTGTCTTCTTGTCTTCGTCCCCTCGTAAGCGAGATAGAGGGACCCAGATAGAAAGATGGGCAATTCAATCTGTTGCCCGACGGTTCACTGAACCCGCCTCTGATGATTTTCGCCTAGCTGTCGGACCATCTCCCGGATCAGGGGTTACATTTACATCCAGTCCGCGCGGGCACCGAGGATGATAAATTGTGGGACTCGCACTCCCCAGCTTGTCCACAGTTTTTAAAAAGATCTTTTATTTACATAAGAAAATATATGGAGTCGGGAATCGGGAGCTTAAAAATGCTTTATAAATGTGCTTGCAATTAGGAATCATTTGACCTACTTCTCTTACGTAATGGTTTCATGACAAAGATTTGAAGAAAACAAGGGAAATTGATTTTAGAGAACATTTTCTGGTAAGTATATAAAACTAACTAACTTCTTGAGAAAAGCATTAGGATGGAA